GTGAGATTGGTTGAGTTTGTGAGGAGGTGGCATCTGAGCTAAACTCTTGCAAGGAGGGGGAAGTTAGACCAGGTAATTGAGTGAAGCTACAAGGATTCTGAGCACCCACCATGAGTTCTGGGCTGCACACATGTGTCAGAGAAGGATGCAGGAGGGGGGGCACTAGCTGAGAGGGGGTTCTAATTGAGGGGCAGTTGGAATGTTCCTCACACTAGCAGGTCCCTGAGCTTGGGGAGAGAGCGGGGGACAGAGACTCACTCTGTCCAGAGCTCTAGGTTCTCCATTGATGAATAAAAGGAGGTGGGCGAGCCATACAAAGTATTCCTGCGTACTAAGAATTAAGGTTTTGCATCTAATTTCCCAGAATGCAAGCCTTTACCTGTTGGTTTCTGGCTGGGGTAGGGAGAGTACTAGGTAGGAGATGCTATCTGGCTGCATTCTTCCCTGGAAACCCTAATTATTTGAATTTTAAATTATTGAAGCTTTATTTTATTATTTGATTCAATATCTTTTTCTCTCTCTTTCTCACTCTGACTCATATCCTAGCACAAAATCTTCCCATATTTATTGTGGGTGCTAATTTAAAACTTTGGGACATTTCAGTCTCATATTGTGTGTGTGTTTCCTACACTCTTTTTTGCATAGTTTGCTTAGTCTATATTTTTTTATCAAGACTTTCACCAATTACCTTGTGGCTCTTATGTGTCTATTCATATTTAAGAACAAGCACTATATAGTAAATTGAAAGACTTGGGTGCATAGATAAAACTTATCACTTGGAAGACCTCATTGTTTAATTATTTTATTGTTACTTGGTTCCTAAGGACATTATTTGAAAATTGCTCAATTCAAGATGCGCCACAGCTTCGGTAGCGATGACTCTCGCTGTGTTTGAGCCGCTCTAACCCCCTCCCCCAGGACCGTGGCAGTCGGCTAGTCCGCCCTTCATGGTAACCATGTGCGACCAAAAGGCAGTGATCAAAAATGCTGACATGTCGGAGGAGATGCAACAGGAGTCATTGGAGTGCGCGACTCAGGCGCTGGAGAAATGCAACATCGAGAAGGACATTGCGGCCCACATCAAGAAGGAGTTTGACAAGAAGTACAATCCCACTTGGCACTGCATTGTGGGCAGAAACATTGGTAGTTATGTGACACATAAAACTAAGCACTTCCTCTACTTCTACCTGGGTCAAGTGGCCATCCTTCTGTTCAAATCTGGTTAAAGCATGGATTGTGCCCACACACCCAGTGATCCATCC